ATATATTTGTATTCACATAAGAAACATTTCATGCAGGCAAACTAATGTCAAAGAACATTGTTTTTCATCATACAGTACATTGTCCAATTATGTTTAATTTAAGAAAGTTACTGCCACCACTAATGGCTTTGTGGAAATTAATTCTGGTTTTCTATGTAAATTTCAAAGGAGTGCTGACAGCACAAGAAATATAAACCCCCTAAAAATACTCCATACATTTACCACTATTTGTTTAGACTTAGGACAACTGCAATGCAAAAGTAAATCTTCAAGGAAAAGCCTGGCCATCAGTTTCTATATAAGCAAACAAACAGAAAAATTAAAAAACTGCACATTAACCTAATAATGAGAAATAGATACTGGGGAATTAGAGCAGATGTTAGATCATGGAGGTAAAATAATCTGCTGTAGATAATGAGTTGCTTCTAAGCATTAAGGTAGCATTACATTTCCATCCAACCATTTTCTAACCACTTTATCCAATAGTAGGTTTGCAGGGGGGCTGGAGCCTATCCTGGCAAGCAATATTCAAGGTAGGGTACACTCTGGACGGGATGCCAGTCCATTGCAGAGCACACACAGGGGCAATTTTCCTAGAAACCAATTAACCTACCAGTATGTCTTTGGACTGTGAGAGGAAACCTGAGCACCCTGAGGAAACCCACAAGAACATGGAGAGAACATATATACTGATGGAAAAAAGAAACACAACATTTTCTGGAATGAGAATACTATAGTTATAGCTTATGTACTTTCACAAAAAGTTGTCCATTTGTCTTAACCCCTCTAACCAGCATTACAGCTTGTTCAGTGAGACATTGCAACTTGCCAATCACACAAAAGCTTGCTAGGTGCAGTTTTACCCAAGGAGGTCCAGGTGGAACAATGCCTGATCAGGTCACCTTTAAAAAGGCCTTCATTCAAAGCTTAGGTCACTGCAAGAAAAAGGCCACACTTAGTCAGTTTTCTGTGAATTCCATAATGTCTCAAATGTCACCAGAAGCAAGGGAGAGGGCCATTGGCATGCTGCAGGCAGGCATGACATGTGCCAGCGTTGTCAGACACTATGTAGTAAGCTACTCCACTGTGAACCAACTGCAGAGAAAGTTTCAGCAGACCGGCAGGACAGATGACCGTCTAAGATTTGGTTGTCCTCGAGTGACCACACCAGAGCAGGACCAACACATCAGACTGGTCCATCTGAGAGATCGTTTCAGATCTGCCACCCGTACTGCTGCTGAAGCTGCTGGCAGACACAATGCCCACATCAGTGACAGGACAGTGAGTCTCCATGCTGCTGGCCTTAGAGCAAGGCGACCTGTTAGTAGACGTCACACCTGGCTCGTCAGCAGTGGTATCAGGTCCTCTTCACGGTGAGTCACTCTCCCGCTTGTTCCACGCAGACGGGAGGGCCAGAGTCCGGAGGAGGATGTGATGCATTTCTTTTTTCCATCAGTATAATTCCATGCAGAAACCCAGTAATTGAGCCTAGAGCCCCAGCACTGCAAGGCAGCAATGCTAACACCTGCAGCACCATGCCAATAAGCATTAAGCTTCCAGCAAACAGAAATATATTAATTTTATACAGTACAGCGCGTACAGTATACAGTATGGAATACCATTGCAAACAAAATTTATATTTCATTTTTTTGTAAACAAGAGACTGCCAAAAAAAACCCCAAAAAAGACCATTAGATTTCACTGCCTGTCACTTATTTTTTTGTAAAATATAGTACTCTTCACTGTCCAATTCCCATCAGGATTAAAGGAAACAGATTTTTGTCATCAGGTTTCCACAGTGACCATACTGCAGGAGTTCAATTTTAGAATATGAGTTCTAAATTATACTGTATAATGAGAGGTAAGAAGTTTGTAGTGAGATAATTTATGCCAAGATTTTAGGCAGCCAGTCAGAGAACATATTTTTTTAAAAGATGTGAATTATGTAAATTGCCCTATTATTGGGGCCACAAGTTCAATTAGAATATAATTCCTATTAAATAAAATACTACCAGAGGAACAATTTCTCATGCGAATTGCTGCCCTTGTTTGCTTTGATTCAACACAGTATTTCCTTTCACAGTAATAACTCCAGAATTCGTGAATCACGGTTTTCAACTCAGTGTGCTTTTAATTTATATTGTAACCGTGCCATATAACGCTTGCAGCCGCATAACATATATATGTTGTTCTTTTTCCAAACATTAAAAAAAAAAATTCAGCATTAAAAAGCAGCATATTGAGTACTATTTTAAATTAAAAAAGGATCATTTAACCATATTCTAAAGAATTTGCTGAAAAAAGATTAGGCCAATTACAAAAATAGGGTCTCAATCGTGTTACGTATTGTTCTGTATTCAAGCAGCTAACATATTTAAACATTTTAGACTTGTAAAGTTTAAATATGTCAGTTTGAACAGGCATTAATAAATTCCATTAATAAATTCCTAAACCTCTAATGTTGCTACTGTTTAACATGGCAATAATCAAGAAAAGGGCAATGTTATTAGTGTATCTTGAATGGTATGTATATTAGAAAGCAACAATGTGCAAACATGTAATTATTGTGTATAAGGCTCCCAACAAATAAATGCACCAAACATGTTATTGAATTAAACCTTTTAGTGTAGATTTAATTCACGTCAGGTTGCTCTACATTTGTACAAATGCAAAGGGATAAAAAGCAAAATAAAAAGATCAAATTGTATATTTGCTTATTATGAGATAATCACCTTAAAAGCTTTTGTTTTTGTCATTTTTTTTTATTTTGGAATAAGAAACACTTTATAAACGTAAGCTTTAGATGAGAAACTGTCTACTAAAAAGCATCAAAAACATATCGATTTAATTACCTAGCATGATTCATGCACAAACTGCTACTTTCTAAAGAACAGGTGTGACCCTTAAATCTCTTCTGAACACTTTGCATAAATATGTAAGGGGAGTTCAACTTGGTAGGGGGCTGTTAAAAACAGGATTTAAAGCTGTAACCCCTTCACAACTACACCAATTTCACTTACTTTATATATTAATGCAATGATTCAGGCTTCCCTACACTTTCTGCTGAAGAACTCTCTTCATGTGTTGTGAAGCAATACACTTAATCAAAGACTTCTTTGCTGATTGGTTTGTTATTGTGCTGTGCCAGACACCACACATATTCTTTACAATACCTCCTGGAGACCCTGCTTTTACATCTTTTCTTACCTTGAACCCTGAATTAAGAACACTCGAATACCTTGGAGACCTTCTGTACTATTCTTCACAATACTGAATTGCTGCTGTAGCCTTTGGAAGGACTTTCTCAAGCTCAGCTTTCTTGAGATTTAACTCAGGATGAATTTAATCTTCTAAATGTGTGAAAAATAAAAAAGCTTTGAACTTTCACACAGTTTTTACACAGATAAGAACCACCACATTACATGTTTTGTATGTTTGATCGTAAGTCCCTCCTCTTAATGGGCGCTCCGGGTTTTTCCATTTTAGTTGATTTTGTGCGCCTGCCTGTTATCCAGCCCCTCCCTATATAAGCCAGTCGCTTCTACCATTTGGCACTCAGCTTTGGTAGATGGACGCCCAGAAGCTCGTCTACCATCAGGTCTCTCCTGGAGGCTTACCACGGCGTCCTGAGTCCGGGGCTGGGAGCGGCTGGCTATGTAACCCTTTTATTCCCCGTCCCTGTGCCTTTTAAACTTTGTCTTGTCTGTCCTGGATGGATTGCCCGGCTCTGGACTCTTGCTTTACACCCTTTGGACTCCCTTGGACTTGTTCCCCTGGACCAAGCCCCCCCGAACACCAGCGCACCATCGTCACGCCCCCCATGTTCGTCTACCAGTCCAGTTCCTAGTCGTCTCCTCCCCGTGTCTGTTTCACTCCCTTCCGGACTCTGCCGTCTGTATAGGGTCCTGATTTACACTTCTTGACACGTCTGGTTTCTCAGGAATTTGGTTCTGATTAGCAAATGTTGATATTCTTTGCAATAACTAAACTCTTCTAAAGCTGATCACAGACATACCATAAGAAACAATTTACATTTTCCATTAACTGGCTTTGTATCACTTTAATTCCCCTATCAACAGACTGTATAACCAGGTTAAATAAATCACATCAAGGTCTGGTTTAAGACAAATTCTCAACATACAAATTACAAGCCCAACATTTAATAAAGACAGGGAATTTCTTTTTAAGATAAAGCCAGCATCAAGCACCAGACTTCTAATTTTCAATTAGGCAGTAGTTTTCTTCAGTCTAAGCCTTTGTATACAGAGCTACTGCTGTAAAACTATACAGCTTAGAGTTTGAATCATGAACTCTGCTGCACAACAAAACCAGGATTACGTAAGTATATCACAGAAGCCAGAAGAATGCCATTAAAGACTCGATAATTGACTTCCATCAGAATTACTGTAAATTCAAACTAGCAAAATAGACCATGATTCATGACACAAACAGGGCTACTGTAAGTTAGATCAATTTCATAAGGAATAGTGATTTTTCTGTCAAGAGTCTGTTTAATTTTGCTCTTTGCACCCACATCCTCATTGCCATTACAATTTAAAATTTTAGATACCAAACATTTCACTTCAGTCTCACTCACTGTCAAGATAGTGAAGATCGTAGTTATCCACTCATGATCCAGTTTAAAGAGTCATTAAAATGTTCCCAGTACTTTTAGAGTGTTAATGGTAATTAGTAAAATAAAAAAAATATAGCAGTCCAATGTTATTCAAAAAGATATTATTGAAAATTATCTCTAAAATGATTAAATGTGCTTTAGATCTATATTCAAATAAGTTATGTGGCGTTAGAGACCTAACATACTAAAAAATATATAAAGAATTCAAAGCTAAAATAAAAAAAACAATTGCAAACTGACCCATTGTTTTTTGACAGTGCAATTGCTGATAAAAATCTGTTGGTGATGTTTCATAAGAGGTATTCTGCTAAATATGCACAAGTCATGTCACTGATTTCTTTGAAAAAGATGGCAGTGTAATGCAACAGGTCTCAAATTCTTTATTGGCATAAATAAGTTTTGACATCATTACCCCACCAAACGCTGCACAAAACACAAAAAGGTAACAGCATCTGCAGTTTAAAGAGCTGACATTCATTAGATTAGCTGAAATTATAAATATTTTTTTAAGTGTAGAAAACTTTATAAATGTTACTGTACAAATTTACAAGAGTAGACCCATCATATAGTATGTCTGCACCAGAAACAAGTGCTCTTTCAAACTAATTTACAATAAGTAATAGTCCCAGCTCATTCTGCAACAGTCATCAACAGGAACACTGAAAATACACAATGACCTATCAAGCTCTTTGTATTATACAGGCTAAGAGTATAAAATGTAATATTGTAGTTTACAGAGGTTGCCTTTTGCATTTGACAAAGCTTTCAATGTCACTATTCACACAAAAAAAAACATGCTACAGTACTTTACTGACACCTGTGACTTAAAACAGTGACTCGCAAAGCAAATCAAAGCCAATGGCATTTCTTCAAAAAGTAATGGACACAACAAAGGGAACATTGATCAATACATTATTGTTGTTTTTTTTGCTGGAATTAAGATCCATCAGAGGAAGTGAAAAGTTACATGATTGGTCGTAGGAGTCAAACTATTACTATGCATGATGCTAGTTTTCATTAAGAAAATGACATCAGTGGGTTGTAGTATTCCAATTTCCAAATATTGGAAAGTGGTACTGATTTAATGCATTTTGAGGACAAGTTACAATGATTCCAGAACACATGTAATAAAATTACCACGATGGAATATTTTATGCGTTGAGGCCTGCAGATGTCTGAATTGTGAGTGTGTACCTACTTCATTTCCATTGTTTTCCATGAAGTATTTTAGCACTCACAATGTGTTCATTACAGGTATAGTGGGAGGTTTACACTGTATACTGTCCTTCGTTCAATAAGCTGTTCATTAACAAGCAGACATTTTTCAAAAAGAGAGAAAAGAAGTGTCTCCCATTTCTGAATCTATTCAAGTCCCAAAATGGTGCAGCAATGTGTATTATTGGAAAACAACGGTGCCTTAGATCCAAATTAGCATATAAAATTACACCTCTGTGTTTCTTCGCATTTTCTATCGCATTACAGTTTGTGACTAGTAAACAGAATTCATTTTACAAACCCTCTGTATATGCATTTAGCAAATCTAAGGAGCTGTAAACATTTCCTGATTACATTTCTGCCAATTTGCTAGAAAGAAAACAATCTGCTTTTGAAGTCCTGTCACTGGTAAAGTCATTATGCCACGTGCTTCCCTCAGTGAAAAGACAGAATTAGCAAACACAGTATCTCGGGTTGTGCATACTTTTATATGCTGTTTTCTAAATTGACAACACTGAGTTAGTAATGTGCACATGGGAAGCAGAGGGACAAAGCCTGAAACAACAAGTCTGATAAGCTTCAGGTCACAGCCCACGCTCACTCTCGGTATCAAGAATGCAGCCACAGAAAACAGAAAACGTTTTCAACACAGCTGATGAACCTAGAGCTTTTTGGTATGAAAGGGTACATAGAAAAGTCTGGTTGGGATTGGGCAAAGACCATTTTATAATGAAAAATTCTCACAAAAACTTAAAATTCTGTTAATAAAAAACTAAATACTTTTGGAATTTCTTGTTTCTTGATATATATAGAATGATCAGAAAAGCAGCACCACAACAGGGATTTCTGATTAGCTCAGTCATGTGTTTGATAAGATCACCTATCTTGCCTTATTTTAATCTTTCTCACATGGGTCAGTGCAACCTAATTTGTGCAAGGGGAGATCATTTTAACCCTTCAAAATGCTAATGCTTAAGCACATTCTCACAGCTGTACTTTGTTTAATTTGCTTTGGAACTTCTTCAATATAATATTAAAGTGAGTCTTTCACAGTAAATTCTAAAATTTATAAGACAAAATAAGTTAGTGAGATTTAAAAAAAACAATCCAGTATCCCTATTTAGAATGGTCCATTAAAGTATTAGAAACTTTGCCTTGCCAAAAAGGTTACTTTCAGTAGCTATTGTACTATAAAACTAAAAAGCATTAATTTTAGGCCGTAACCTAAAATAATGGTAACTTAAATATTGACTAATAATATAATTTTTTTGATCTTCCTTACTTTTTGGAATTACTCTAAGATCAAGCAAATAACAAGGTAGGTCTAAACTTTAAAAATCTCTCAAATCCTGTGATTTTAAGAAATTTAGTTAAAAATGATTGTGTCACACTGAACATCAATGTGACTAAGAAAGCATTCAATGTGGCCATTCTAGTAAATGCGTTTCTCAGACTCCACAGCATGTTAAGCACAGCTCTCAATATTATAATTAGGTTGGAATATTTGTTACTATTTTAGTTTTCTTTGATCAAATTGTAAGTATACGGATTTATTGTACTGTGACTTTATTTCTCATGTTCTTGAGCAGCCAAACCAGTAAATGTAGATTTGGGAGCAATCTGAATCTCATTTGTTGCTTCTGAGCGGTCATTAGCTGACTGGTTCAACAGGTGGGAGACGCAAAACTGACAGCATGGAAAATGACCGACATTCCTACATGTTCCTCCTGTGCGAGGTCTATATTAGTCAAACCAAGCTGATTAACAGCATCGGATTTCAAATTTTCGGGGGTGTAACAGGAATTAATGGCAATTCCAGCCTTGGAAAAATTGACTCAACCAGGAAACCAGCCATGGCTTGAGTGGAAAACCTGGCAGGATGATATGGTAGCATGGTGATACAATCTGACTAAAATCTTAACTTCTCACACTTCTCATGAAGTTATCTCATCACTGAGTGTTTGTACATACATATTGTGAGAGGACAGTCATTTCAGCTAAGACAAAGGATCAAAAAGTAGCCCTGCAATAATAGATTCATAATATTTTCTAAGAGGAATCCGTTTTCCCTTTCATTACGAAACCAGTAAATTGTTTGAGCAGCAAAATAATTTGCTTGACCCAAATCATCTTCATAACAATTGTTATAAAGAGTATTAGAGAATGAACTGTTTTCTTTATGGAGTTCACTCCAGAATAAAAACGCACAAGTGAAGTCCTTCAGTAACCTGCAAATGTACTGTGCAGGCTTCTTTAAGGATTTTTGGTTTCTAGAGGGATGAAAACAAATGGACCTCCAACACCACCATATGAAATACAAATCCTGAAAAATACTTTGCTTGATGTTTGGTCTGCCCATTTTAATGTATTATTTTGAAATGAATACAGGGGTAACAAGTTCCTACTAATAAGGTACTTCACATGCAAGGGACTGCTAATGGTTGGCACACACTTATGTGTAATTAACTGCCACTCATACTTCACTTTCTCAAGCATTTTATACGTGCGCTTCTCATTTGATGTGTAATGAATCCAAAAATCCCACCAGCTCAAATTATATCTTAAAACCAACATTACTAAATACATCTGAAGTGCAAGTGGTGAATATTAATCAACCCACTTTTTATATGAAAACAAAGAAAGAAATTAAGATGTAACTGAATGTCTTTGGGTCTTTATAGCTTTTTTATTGTATGTTTGCTATTCTAAATTAAAGTGAAGTTACTGCACTTGCTTTCAGTTGAAGAATGTGTATTTTGTTAGTTATGTGAAGTAAAACACATTAATTCTTTAGGATGATGCAAGTGCTATACCTTCAACACCAGCAAATAGGATTTTGTGACAGACTCCTTTAGCTTATATTGAGATGCCTCCTTTGTAAGATATATAAGATGAATCATGTGCTCTACTTTACTCTTTCAATTCAGGGTGACTTGATACATTCAGATTGGTCTTAATTATTTAATCAAGCAGTTCAATAAGTGCATTGATGCTAACGAGAAAATAAGCAGTTTTATGGCTCTAACGTCATTTTCTTTGTCTTTTAATGAGAGGAATTTTAACTTTACTGTTTTTCAACTGTAACATGAGCCTGTAGCAGATGAAGTCCATTTTGTGTTCATTATCACGCAGAAAATCTATTTTTTAATGCCAATTATTTTATATAATTTCTGAAAACCTAATGGAGCCTTACCAACGCGTCAAAAAAATTAAAATAAAAAAATCTGTCTCCTTTAATGTAGAGATTTATTTTAATCTCAAAGTATAAAAGTTACTATCCCTTGTTTTGCAAACAAAGCCATAGATCGAAGAAAAGACGCACAGTTGTGTTCAAAACCACTTAAGAAGACACACAGGCTGTCACACTAAGACTCACATGAAATACAGTATGAAAAACAAATTTAAGAAATATGCAAAATTATAATTAACACACATTGGCAAAAAATAAACAGAACAAATCCCTGAAATGAGAGAAAACATTCCTTTCATATATTACTGTGCTTTAATGTCACTGAAACAGTAATATCGATCTCATTCACAGTGAAGGTGCTGATGATGTCCACGAAGTTCTGAATAGTAGTGCAATGTTCATGCCATTGTAGGCACACAGGCATGCAGAGAGAACTAAGACACAGGAGAATGGAGTTAAAACAGTTCAGTAGCCACAGCTTCCTAATGAATACTAACGGAGTAGCAAAGGAATAAACTCTGATGATCTTAAATAATTCCACTGCATTCTACAGTATTCGCTTTTAAATCTGTTTAAATCTGCCCTCTGTTGGTACTTCATGGAGGAGAAAATGTCACAAAGATAGACCTGATTTCAACATGAAAGCATGCGGAATTCAGAGGAATTACATTATGTTATTCCTCTGCTATTAAGTTGGAACTGTAGAAATTTCTAGCCATGATTTAAAGTGTCACCTGACTAATAAGCACTTATTTTCATTTAGAAAAAAAAAAGACTAGTAAAAATAAAGCATGAGGGAAAAATAGATATGTCTATAATTATATTTAATTGGCAACAGACAGGATAAAACTGACATGGTGTAAGAAACCACACAATTTGGAAACATTTTAGGCAGAGAGGAAAGGCTTCTCTGTGCTGGAATCCGCCTATGGCACCCTTAGGTTTGAGTAAGGTGCTAGTTCACCACTTCCAGGCTCCATGCCAGATGGGGAGAGAGTAAAGTAGAAGAAGGGAGGGGGAGGGCGGGGCCTCACGCAAAAAAGGCACAGTCCCATCACTCCATCTGTCACAGCCTACAGCAAGAGAAACAAACAACATCCCATCAATAAGTGCCTTCACACTCCAGCTTCTCCGCAGACAACAGCAGCCCAGGGAAGACCAGGCAAACTAGTACCAGAAAAACGAATTGTGGGAAGAAATAAAAAATGAATACATTAAATAAAAGATTGCCCTCAAGTTGAAGGATGATCGGGCAATCGGGTTTGAAAAAGTGTCCTAGTAATACACTGGTTGAATATTATTTAATGTATTTTTTTAACCCACCCTTACTATCAACCCAGTAATCGCCTGAGAGTGCAGAGACTTGTGAACGAGGGACAGAGTGCATTGGTTGTGCACAAACACTTTTCCGACTGACAGATGGGCAGTGATGGGCAATGCTGTAGGGCAGGCAGGGTCAACATATAATTAACTTCATCTTTCCGGATGAGTGTGTCTGCCTGATGCTTGTCAAAGGCTGTTCTGTGACTCTTTAGAGGTTCACTCAGTGAGATCAATTGGATGTACTACAAAAACATGCCCATGCACAGTTTGAAAAAACAGAATCAATTAAAAATTAAAGGCCAAATCGAAATGGTACTGAAAAGAACATGGGAGAAAAATGACTGATTCAGCACCCATGTCATCAGCAATCGTGTTTTGTCTTAGGTAACGCTGGGTGACTGATGGAAAATGGCAGCTGTTCTTGTTTTCCTAGAATCATATGGAGCTCTACTAGGTGGGTTGCCTGCAGGATAACTAAGAGATGTCCAAGGAGAGAGCTAGCCAGTGTTTGGTTCAGAACACCTCCAGCCTTCTGGCAAACCCCTTCTTCTCCGTCTTTCAGGTCGGAAGTCAAATCTAATATAAATTTGACTTTCTCTTGTTTGATATCTAACAAGACTGACCTCTGGTGAAGTGCATGTGAAATCATGTTTGCATAAAGAAATCCACACAGCTGTAGCACGATAGCTACTTCTTTCCCAGAACTAGAACATGGGGCTCATAAAGGGCAAAGAATCAGCCAGGTTTTAGTTCTCCCAAATTGATACAATTTTTTTGACAGTGGGACCACATCTTATTTCTTTCTCAGCCAAAATAGTATGTCTGATTCTGATATCTCCCAATTTGCTCCAGCATTATAAATGATGTGACACTTTGACATTTTTCTTTAAGAACCTCAATTCATCGTTAAGGCAAGAATTAATATAATCCTGTGGGCCAGTTCTGATAGCAAGAATCAAGTGCTTAATCATTCAAGGGCTATTCTCAGAAGCACCCATGTTATTTAGAAAGTATCACTCTTATTGGGCAGGCAGCTGTCCCACTATGGGTTTAGTTGGTGGTGCCAGGGTGTTAGTGAAAGGTAAATGAGAGCACATCCTGTGGTTAAACCAGAGCACACATCACAATTATAACACTGGTTGTGACGTGTTTGTTTTTCACATTTTAGGTGATGTGCCTTTCACCTTGCAGGTCCCCTCTAGGACTCTAAGACCCCTTCTCAGCACAAAGGGCACCTTTTTCTTCCTTGGTTTCACTCAGTTGCACTAAATTCAAACAAGAGCTTATTGTTCACAGTTAAAATAACTTCCTTATTGAAGCAGGAGACTGACTGACTGACTGACTGACTGACTGACTGACTGACTGACTGACTGACTGACTGACTGACTGACTGACTGACTGACTGA